TATATTTAATCATTCCATAAAACATATTCTTGATTACTTTAGGTAATCTCATGCCTCATGCAAAAGTTATAAAGCATAAAGCCGTCTTCTCACCTTAAACGAAGCTTTAATGCGTTCTACCCTTCTTGGTTGAACTCCGACGAAACTCCGACGAGTTTTGTTGAACTCCGGCGAAACTCCGGCAAAGTATTCCAACTCCGTAGAAGTGCTAGGAACACCTTAGACAAGTTCCTAACAAGGTTCCATAATCACAAAACCCATATTAATTCAAATAACCTCTAAAAGGTTATTTTCTGGCGAACCGGTCACCTTGGCTTCTAAGTCCGTTCTCGGACTTAGAACTACCTTCCAACCCCTCTTTCTACACTTCTAAACATGTAGAATAATCCTAGGGGTTCCTTATGTGCTATGCACGTCATATGATATTAAAGAGTGGGGGGAAAAGTCACCATAAAGTCATTACCTTATTAACCACAAGTTTTTCCACCTAAACTTCTCTTTTCTCTTCTCTCTTTCCTTCCTTCTTCCTCCCTTGTTCTTGGTGCGTGTATGGATGATAAAAATGGAGTTTTTGCAGAGATTTTCTCCCCTTGGAAAATGGTATGGACGAGCTGTATGAGTTGGGATGATTGAGAATGCCTTTTTGGCATTTCTCCAAAATAATACCAAGGGTGAGGTCCACTTTCCTATTGATTGGTCTTCCAATCAATTCATCCTTGCTTCTCCATGTCATTATGCGGCTCCCCTTGACATTTGCAGCACCAAATTCGTGAGGTGGCCCCCACTAATGTGGGAGGTCATCCCTTTATGTCCCCAAGTGTACATTTGGTCCAGAAAGTTGTATTTTCCGGACTGTTTTAATTACATTTTATTTTATCGGGTCAAATAAAATATAACACATGTTCTAAATCTTCATTGGACCTTAGGATGAATATACTTTTACAACCTCTAATTCAGAAGTCTCCGAAATCCCTTTTTGGCCTGTTATATGATAAATTGCCGACACTGATAATTGGACCTCGTTTGACTGACCGGTCAACCCTATGTCTTTGCCACGGCCCAATTAGAATATCCACCACCATATACATATTATCTAGGCCCAGATGAATATAATGTGTGGTCCCGATACTATAGGGCGGTCCCCACTTCCGGTGTGGGCCCCACGTGAATCTTACTATTCACGTAAAAGAAACGATAAAAATTTACGATGCTTTTACTCATTTCTAAGGATTCAATACATAAATTAATAAAGTACAACTACTTGGGGGTGGTGTTACAAGTTATGTGCCCAAATAGTTTGCGGGGATCGCAAAACACCAAACCTTGTATCACAAAATCGCCAATACAAGCATGTTTTAATTCAAATCGAAAATTTGTGTGTGATCTGGTTTGATTTGGTCTGAACTGGTTTGGTAAATGTCTGATATCTGTGTATTTTACAATTTCGAAGTTTGGTCTAGTCTGATCTGGTTTGATCGGTACTAGGCTAGTTTTGTCGTGATATGTTCTGTGTCTTAAATAAGTCCAAATAAAAACATTCTAAATTCGTCATTAAGAATAGAGTTACATGAGATGTGTTCATTTTGATATACATCAATGTGTGACACTCATTTATGGAGTTGAAAAGTTAACTACTACCATTGTGACTTTGTCCCAAAATGATTAGTCGTTTCCAAAATTTTGACCAATAATATATATTTATTGCAATTTATTTATAATATAAAAATACTTACTTTCATAAAACTATAAAATTTATTACTCCCTCTGTCCCGGTCATTTCTTCCAATTTTCCGTTTTGGGCCGTCCCAATTAATTCTTCCAACTTCTACTTTTGGGAAAAAATATGTGGTTCACATTCATTCACATTTTTCTTACACAACTACAACCATACATTTTCACTTTATTCCCACTACCTAAATTTGCGATACCGGTCAAAATTGGAAGAAATGACCGGGACGGAGGGAGTATATAATAATCAAAACCATGGTCCAAATTTTAAGATTTGGGAATTGGCTAAACATTTTGGGAGGAGTAATATATTTTAAACGCTTAATAAATGAGTGACCCACATGTATATACACAAAATATAAACACTTCACGTAGCCGTAGACTTATTGATTTTAACATTTGAACAATGTTATGCATTTTTTTTTTATTTTCAGGCAATTATCCTGTATAAATCAAAGTAGGAAAAAACATTGGGACGAAGCTATCATTTTCTAATTTAGGGATGGTATTCTATACCTTGGATGTAGCCTACGGGATCATGAAAAGAAGAGACAAAATGGGATCCGGAACCTGTGCCATACTTCAAAGCAATGCATGGTGTCCGGCTCTCTAGAACCGTCTGATCAAAACATGGACGGTCGGAGATGTTGAGTTACAGATCCCGATGCCTCTTTTCTCTCATCCGATGGCCCCCTACGCGCAAGGCACTCTGCCGTGCAGCAGAGGATCCCAATTCCCTTAAATTTCACTAAATTTCACTAAAATTTCCTTAAAATTTACTAATTCCCTTAAATTTCACTAAATTTCACTAAAATTTCCTTAAAATTAACTAATTCCCTAAAATTCCCTTAAAATTAACTAATTCCCTTAAAATTAACTAATTTCCTTAAATTTCACTAAATTTCACTAAATTTCCCTTAAAATTAACTAATTCCCTAAAATTCCCTTAAAATTAACTAATTCCCTTAAAATTAACTAGTTTCCTTAAATTTCACTAAAATTCACTAGAATTCCCTTAAAATTAACTAATTCCCTAAAATTAACTAATTCCCTTAAATTTCACTAAATTTCACTAAAATTTCCTTAAAATTAACTAATTCCCTAAAATTCCCTTAAAATTAACTAATTCCCTTAAAATTAACTAATTTCCTTAAATTTCACTAAATTTCACTAAAATTCCCTTAAAATTAACTAATTCCCTAAAATTCCCTTAAAATTAACTAATTCCCTTAAAATTAACTAGTTTCCTTAAATTTCACTAAAATTCACTAAAATTCCCTTAAAATTAACTAATTCCCTAAAATTAACTAATTCCCTTAAATTTCACTAAATTTCACTAAAATTTCCTTAAAATTAACTAATTCCCTAAAATTCCCTTAAAATTAACTAATTCCCTTAAAATTAACTAATATCCTTAAATTTCACTAAATTTCACTAAAATTCCCTTAAAATTAACTAATTCCCTAAATTTCCCTTAAAATTAACTAATTCCCTTAAAATTAACTAGTTTCCTTAAATTTCACTAAAATTCACTAAAATTCCCTTAAAATTAACTAATTCCCTAAAATTAACTAATTCCCTTAAATTTCACTAAATTTCACTAAAATTTCCTTAAAATTAACTAATTCCCTAAAATTCCCTTAAAATTAACTAATTCCCTTAAAATCAACTAACTTCCTTAAATTTCACTAATTTTCACTAAAATTCCCTTAAAATTAACTAATTCCCTAAAATTCCCTTAAAATTAACTAATTCCCTTAAAATTAACTAGTTTCCTTAAATTTCACTAAAATTCACTTAAAATTAACTAATTCCCTAAAATTCCCTTAAAATTAACTAGTTTCCTTAAATTTCACTAAAATTCACTAAAATTCACATAAAATTAACTAATTCCCTAAAATTCCCTTAAAATTAACTAATTCCCTTAAAATTAACTAATTGTCTAAAATTTCACTAAAATTCACTAAAATTCACTAAAATTCCCTTAAAATTAACTAACGTCCAATAATTAATATTATTAAACTATAAACATGCACAATACGTTAATGGCATTAATTTAATCCACAATACTAAAATTATCAACATCTTAATCTTATTAATAATGCACATTTAACAATTTACTAAATTAAATAATATGAGCAAATCCAATAATTTGAGCATATATATATAATAAACACATTTAAATTAAATTAACTAACCCTAATTTAAATCATTATTAATCCTAAATTAGGCCGCCTTAATGAACAATAATTGCCAATATAAAGAAATCATATACTTATATTTAATCATATATATATATATATATATATATATATATATATAAAGTCATTTGAATTAAATAATACTTACATTTAACTAATATTAATAATATGCATTTAAATTATATTTAATCATATATACTTACATACGTATTTAACTAATTTACGTAATTTTAACCCTATATTTTAAAATTAATAACATATGTATTGCCAATATTATATTTAATAATATACTTACATATGTATTTAACTAATTTACATATTTAACTAATTTACAAAAAATACGTAATTCAAATTACATACGTTATCTGCATAAACAGGAAAAATGATATGAGATGGGTAGATTACATCCTTCAATTATATCTGGAATTCTATCTGGAGTAGATGGTGTGATTTTGTTGAATGAAGCGGAGGTTGCATATATAAAACTTGTAGTCACGGACTTAGTCACGGATGTGTCCGTGACTACATTTTTTTTTTGTACGAATTATCGGTGCACTTTAAATTTGGAACGTTGAAAAAATCAATTTTGCACTTGTCACGGAATTAGTCACGGACTAAGTCCGTGATTAACTGTAGTCACGGCACTAGTCACGGAACCATCCGTGACTAATTTCAAATTTAAAAAAAATCCCGCCGGAGGCGAAAATGGGTTGGCCGGAAGCCCGGAACACGTAGTCACGGCCAAATCCGTGACTAATTTTTTTTAAACGTTCCGTGACTAAACCGTGATGAGAACCGTGACTAACTAGTCACGGACCAAATCCGTGACTACGGTCCGTGACTACAAGCGAATTTTTTTGTAGTGCAATCGGAAAAAATGTGTAGGGAGAAAGTATGTCAGGGTAGAAGATCTCTTAAATATTCATTACTAAAAATAACTTCAGGCAACAACCATGAATGTTAATCGGTAAATAAAAACAAAATATCAAGTTTTTTTTTTTTGTTTTTTAAAAATTATAATACAAATTCCAATTTCAACATTTTCTATAAACAATAAATAGTAAAAGAGATGCACAATTGGGTTAGTTTTGGGATTTTCCCTTATTATTAATTTTTCATTTTTTGGGGGTTATTGTTACATTGAGCCTCAAACATATTAACATCATAAAATGGAACACAACAAAATAAGCGAAACTATCCACCGGTGATTTACGTTGTAACATCAAACTTAGGCAGCGACGGACGTTTCAGTTTTGACCTCCGACACAGCAGCAACAGCAGGAACAACAACTGCTACTTCTTCTGTCTTCTTCTCTTCATCGCCGACCTTTGTAGCTTCCTCGGTGGCCGCTTTTTCCACAACCGCAGCGGTCGGGGCGGTTTCCGCTGGGACAACTTCGACCTTTGGGGTTTCTGTCTCTACCGCCACTTCCTCTGCCTTAGGTGCCTCTTGAGCTGGCTCTGTTAGATCTACCAATGGCTCTTCCTTCTTTGTCTCCTCTCCATCCTCCTTATTTTCCTGCGTCCATTTTTCCTCCATTCATTATGTACATTATTAAACAATGTTATTGGATCACATGCAAAGTTAATATAAAAAATGAATTCCATCAAACAGTTATTACTCTCTGTCCAAATATTAGCCCAATATTAACTCTTTTTAATATTGAACTAAAAAGAGAAAGTTGTGTGTTTGAGAAACATAATACTACGTATAAGTTTGCAAGTTCTTCGCTATAAGAAGAAAACGTGGGACGGATGAAAAGACAAAGTATGAAGATAACTTTGAGACAGAGACTCTTATTGTTCAAACCGGGATAAGACTCTTATTGATACCTCGGGAGCAGCCTGGATCTCGGGTTTCTTGGGGGAAAGAGGGGCCTCAGGGACAGGGGCCTCTTGTGTGTCCAAATCCTTAGGTTTGCTCGCACAGGCTCCCATGTCTACTTATCTCTGTCGGACGAGTAACGAGAGGAGCGAGGCGAGACGATCGACGAACAGGTGGGAACCGGAAACACTACAAGGCCTTCCTGAGGGTAGAAGCTTTATTTGCTTTTAGTAAGTTTTTTTATTGGATGGAACTTTGTTATTTCCGAGGCTGGTTTGAAAGAATGGAGGTGGAGGAGGTTTTATAGGGAAAAATTGGAGGAGAAATGGCGGGGAGGCCTCCCACATTGTAGCTATGCCGTTGGAATTATATGGGCTGCATAAATTGAGCCGCATGAATCAATAAATTAAGAATACTTTTTTTAAAATTTTAGATATTTGCTTGGTGGAGATGAGATCTCATGTATGCTCATAAGTCATAACCATAAACGTCACAGCCATTTCCAAATAATAACAAAGTCATCTGAGCTATTTTTAAGGCAGGAGGGCTTGGTCCAGCATAACGTTGTTAGGAAATGGTGGAAACTACTTCGTATTTATTATTCGTAACTCCAAAAGAAGGGAAATTTACCAGCATATGACCAAAACATGGGGAGATTCCAGGGGCGGATCCAGAAAGTCACAATGGGGTGGGCTGGGAAAAAAATTGAAATACACATATATAATAATAAGTCAAGTCATCAACACTTACAAATTCATTAAAACATCATTTAGGTTGTGCCCTACGCGACTTCAAAGTATAAAATTCATCAATAATAGAATCTATATCTATATTATTGACAAAGTCTCGTTCAATGTAGATCATCAATGAATCTTCAAGAAAATCGTCTCCCATTTTGTTACGAAGTGCCGTTTTCACATGCTTCATTGCTGAAAATGTTCTTTCCGTAGTAGCAGTATAAACAGGTAGGGTCAAAACTAGACGAATTAGTCTCGTCAACATAACATAGATTTCTGATTTCCCACTCTCCGTCAAATGTTGACATAACTCAACAAGTGTGGACGCTTCAGATGTTGAAACAATATCATGCTTGTAGTGAATCAAGTCATACTCAAGTGAGACAATGTCTTGATCAGTGAAATCTGCAGGATAAAACTTTTTTGCAAGTTTACAGATATCCTCACTGTTAAATGAGCTGAAGGAGTTCTTGGGATCCAAAGCAAGACTAAGTTGAAGAAGTTCCATGGATGTATCATTAAAGCGCGTGCCTAACTCAGTCAAAGTAAAATCTTGTCTTATTTAGATATATTTTGTGCTTCATCAACAAGAATGCAGAAATAACTATTTGCAATTTCTTCACGAACCATTTGACGAACTCTATTTGCCATTATATTCAAGATCTCTTTTTGAATGTCGGGAACAATGTACTCAGCATTTTTAGGAGCATTCTCAAGTACAACTTCATGAACTTTGGTATTCATAGTCGCAAAAGCTTTCACTAGTTCAATAAAATTTCCCCGATTTGATGATGTTACAGATTAATCATGACCTCTAAAAGCACAACCTTGAAGTGCCAACCATGGAACAGTTATAATAGAAGTTCTCAATCGCAAACCATTTTTCTCCTTTTCTTGTTGTGATTGGGCATGAAAAACATTCTTAATATGGCCAGATGGTTGGCTCAAATTTTCAGCTCTTTGAACACACATCATATGAGGTGATTTTTCTGAAATACCAATGTGTTGAAGAAATGCACATTGACTTCCTTGATTTACCCTCTTCTAACTTTGAAATCCTTCGTTAACTAATGCAGAAGTAGTATGCATATGAATGTCACTCAAGAAAAGGAAGCAGAAAAACCAGTAAGCTTTATCAGTCACAGGTGAGTACTCTAACCAATTAAACTTGTCAAACCAGTGTTTCTGAAAACTTCGGTTTTGAGCTCCAAACTTTTTCACTGGATAAGCTTCCATTCTCGGTTGATAAGGCCCAACATTTAGATATGCACGTCTAACTTCATCTCGCACATTAACATGGTATTCATGAATTTGTTTTCTTTTTCCCGGAACCCTCTCAATGGAAAAAGATGAAGGCAACTCAAAATTGGAGAAAGATTGGATTTCAGGGACTGGGACATGTGAAGGAACCTCATTGACTAGATCTTGCACTATCGTAGGTATAGGTTCAGAACTTCCTTCACCGGTTTGACGATTCACTTTTGAAAAGAATGATGAAATCAACTTCTTTCCCTTCTTGGCAACATGTTCATTATCCATTCTAAAAAAACATTTTCAATATTGATATAAATTAAAAAACTTACATAAAAAATATAACTAATAAGGAACTATTTAACTAAATCTTGTATGATTCCCTAGCCTAGTAGCCCTAAAACTCTAAAATGCACAATTCACAGATAACAGATTCACTCATTCACTCTAAAATGCACAATTCACATATTCACTCTAAAATTACTGGTATTGTTCACCCTAAAATGCACAATTCACAGATTCACTCATTCAAAGTTCACAGATTCACAGTAGAAGTTCATGTAACACCCCGGCCCCACTGGACCCGAGGTAGTTACTCCGGACCAATAGTACTGTCCCCACAAACCACCACGAGCCTTTACTGCACACTTTGTCCTCACTCATGCGCGCCCTGAGAAACTTCCCAGGGGGTCACCCATCCCAAGACTACTCCCGTGCAAGCACGCTTAACTTTGAAGTTCTTGGGTGATAAGCTCCCTTAAAAGGAGATGCACCTCTGTTGGTATGAGTAGTACTATTAATCCGTTTATATTAAATCTCAAGTGTTACAATCACCCCCACTTAGGATCGCAACGTCCTCGTTGCTTCCTTGAACCAATCTCAAATCTCAATCAAATCATATCCCAGAATCTTCCCCCGCTAGGTGCCCGCCCGATATCCAACGGGTCATCACACTGTCGCGGGGTTGCTCTGATACCACCTGTAACACCCCGGCCCCACTGGACTCGAGGTAGTTACTCCGGACCAATAGTACTGTCCCCACAAACCACCACGAGCCTTTACTGCACACTTTGTCCTCACTCATGCGCGCCCTGAGAAACTTCCTAGGGGGTCACCCATCCCAAGACTACTCCCGTGCAAGCACGCTTAACTTTGGAGTTCTTGGGTGATAAGCTCCCTTAAAAGGAGATGCACCTCTGTTGGTATGAGTAGTACTATTAATCCGTTTATATTAAATCTCAAGTGTTACAGTTCATAACTTCACTGATTCACAAATCAAAATTCAACACCAGTCACCATCTACATCAAGTCACCAAGAGTCCAAGAGGATTTACCTAGTCTGGACTGCTGAGTTGCTGAATGCTGATCAATCGAGACTCGAGAGAGGGAGGCAGAGGAAGAGGCGGCTCGGCGCGTCGCTGTTGTTCACGTCTCCGGCACGGCGGCACGGCAGCACCGACGGCAGGTTCGCTGCTTCAGTGCGGACTGCGGACTGCGGTCCCTGCGGGCTGCGCCGTTGCGGAGCACTTCAGTCTTCCACTCTTCCGACTCTTCCGAGTCCCGTCGCGCCATCCCCGTTCGGCCGTTCTGTTCGTGAGTTCGTCCCTTCGACGTTCGAGTGTTCGACCGCAAGTTGGCGTAAGCCGTAAGGGCCTCAGGGGTAAAGATGCGTTCTGGATTGTTGACTGCTTTTTCTGGGCTGGGCTGAGAATTATTTGTGGGGTGGGCTGACAATTAAATTTGGGGTGGGCTGAGAATTGAAAATATACCAATACTATTAAAAAAAAATGGGCTGGGCTGAAGCCCATCCCTGGCCAGGCTACCGTCCGCCCCTGGGAGATTCCCAATATATGACTAGTCATGTGAAAATGATAAAACTATGAGTTGGTATGGGCAAGAAAAGGGAAAAAAGGAAGATACCGTCTATTATTATGCATGACATGTGGCAGTATAATAGGAAAATTTCCTAAGGAAATATAAGTGCCTAGTCATATGATGAGAAAGATCAATTATTTTAATCATAGGCATAGTAAATTTATCCCAAAAGAATGGAAAGTGAAAATAAAATCACAATTGAGTCAAATAAAATGGGCAAGAAGTGTATATTTATATTAGTAAAAATTAAAAGAATAAATTAATACGAAGTACATACTCCGTATAATTTTAGATGCATAGATAATTAGATACTACGTTGATAAACAAACATTCCTCTATGTCAATAGATACAAATTCTATTCTTTTCAACCATTGACATTAAATTAGTAGAGCCTACCAATATTTTTGTTAAAAAAATAGAGGCCAATACGCCATCGTTTTTTTTGCATCAGGAAGTAATCTATCCTTTCTAGGCTTCTAGCTCTTTTGATCTTTTTTGGGATATCATTTCTTCTTACTCCAAGAGTCCAAGGAGCGTCTGGGGAGGGGGTACGGAGGACTTGTAATAATCAGAGCTGAAACTCACTCCATTGAGTTTCGAACCTGAGACCTCCCGTAAGGGAGAGTGAGTCGGTGACCGGCTAAGCTAGGGAAATACTCGGTTCGGGCTGGGCCCGGTTCGAGCCTTGAACCGGCCGGGCCTCGGTTCAAGGTATGGGAGGCCCGGAACCTGCCCGGGTAACCCCCGGGTCCGGGCCGGGCCGGGCCTCGGTTTTTTTTTTTGGGGCTTTTCCTAGTTAACCCCCAACCCTCCTCCTCACCCCCAAACCAACCCTAACCACCTCAAATGGCCCAAAATAACCAGCCCAACCCAAAGACTTAAAAAAAATTCAAAAAAAAAATGAAAATTGGCCCGGCCCGGGCCCGAACCGACCGGGCCGGTTCACCTTTTGAAGGACCCGAACCCAAACCGAGATCCCACCGGGCCGGGTGGCCCGGACCGACCCGGTGAACCAGTTGGTTGGCCGGTTCGGGCCCGCACAGTAGCGGGCTTGTCCGGTTCCGGGCCGGTTGGCCCGGCCGGAGTCCACCCCTAGGCTAAGCTGGACCGCTTCCTCAATTCATACTTTTGTCCTGTCTAGTACGGAGTATAATATAGCTTTAATTAATTACTTCATTGTATCTAAAAAGGCAATATAAAAATAAACTTTCCTAAAAGCTTGTGAAGTCAAGATTTTGTGGACTTAAAGAATGACTTATTTGAGGGAAGGATAAACTTATTTTGTAAAAGTAAAAGAATTTTTGTAGCAAATTTGATGCCCAAATTTTCTAGTAGAACATCATAAGATCAATTTTTATTTTGCACGACCGAGGGATTTGGATTCAATACAACCAATTTAAAAGTATAATCTTAATATCAAGAACACTTAGATCAGATCATATGGCTTAACTACCTTTCCATTGTACCAAAAATTAAGGTGATGGTTCAAACGGTTTTACAACTAGTATAAAGCAGTCATTCTCTTGTTAATCTTCTTCGATCAACATTAGGCAGAACAAGAATACTAAATAGTCCGGAGAATTTTGCCAAGCTGTGCGGTATACCATTTAATCCTTCTTGTGGTTGTGGGTTTTATTAAGTGAGAAAACGGGTTCACTTGTCTGATCCTCATCGGCAGGTTTATTATGAGTGGTGGACCACTTTTTATCATAAATTCCAGTTTGCACAGTCTGCTCATCTTTGTTTGCAGAGATCTTAATGGGCCCGCCAGTAGAATTTTGGGTTACTAAGCCTTTGTAGATGCAAAGAGCTTGAGAAATCATGCTTGCTGGGTCAGAGGCACTCGTCGGAAGCAATAGTGTTGTGCCCTATTTTTGAAGAATTGGAATACATACATAAATTTTGCGAACAACAATACTGGTAATTCAAACGAGAAAACTTTGCCTCACCTCCTTTGCAACGTTGCTGAACGCTTGAATGTACTGCTCGGCAATTCTCAGACTTGCTGCCTGGAAACAGGAGTATCAAAATTAGACAAAATGTGTTGGTTCTTGAAACCACAAGGGTCCATTTGGAACTTGGGATATGCGGAGGAAATAAAATATGGGGGGCATTTTATTAGGAAATTAGGAAGGACAGAACAATGGGGAAAATAAACAATTGTTTCAAAGTTGAAACTCAATAGATTAAGTTTAGACGGAAACTTAAGATATTGATAAAAAGGCTAAGAAATCTGGATAAATGTAAGATTTCATAAAGTTCTAGACAACAATTTGATCTTTTTCTTCGTATTTCCCAAGATGAGTTTGAATCTACATTTTCAGGTTTCCTTTTATACAATTCCCCCCAATGAGTTTGTACATTGTATGCCCAAATGTAAATTTATCATTTTATTGCATTTGAAACCTTGTTTTATTCCCCCCCAATTCTCCTACATTTTCTTTCCTTTAAAATTCCTCCTATATTTTCCTCTATTTTCTTTGTGTAGCATTTCCAAAGTTCCTAATGGACCCTTAATATAATTTTACCAGTTTCTGATATCCATACATAGCCCAAAAGTACGAAGAGTCTCACCTCTGCACCCCCGTGTTCTTTGAGTGATTGAGAAACCACAGCAATTCCTTTTGCTGTTGCTTGTGCTCGGGCAAGAATGGCTTCAGCTTCACCTGGTTCACACAAACATAAAAACAACAAAATATCATTAAATCTGTGACAATTTCATAAAAGCCACAACAATTCGACTATTTGATTAAACCTTTTCATTTTTATTTTTAATCTTCCTTATTTTCTTACTCATGGGGAGTGCAGTTAAGATTGAAGTTGAGAATACGCAGAATGAAGTAGTCCACATTTATCCAAAACTACCTACCTTGAGCTCTGTTAACCTGGTCCATTTTTGCAGCTTCTGATTCAAGGATCACAGCACTTTTCCTTCCATCTGCAATATTAATATTCGCTTGCATTTGCCCTGCACAAACACAATGCACCAAATGTCATAATTTATTTGAAAGTGACTGCAAGACTTACAAATAAAGAGTATGTGTTTTCTTCAGAGTGAGGAGAATGCTAAAATGTGCCTTTCTTCCCTATTAATAGGTCACCCCCACCCTGGATGCTAAAAAGACATCAATAAAAATAACCATAAGGGTCCAAATCTGCTACCTTCTGATTCAAGAACTTGAGCCCTTTTCTTACGTTCAGCTTCTGCTTGCATCTCCATAGCTGCCCTAACCCCACGAGGAGGAGATATATCCCCTGAAAAAGAGAGATATGTATTTTCTCAAGCAATGACATTGATTGAAAACATACAATCAGGTGTGGTGAGGAATAATAAAGTCACATACTTATTTCATAACGGAGACACTTCAATCCCCAATCTCTGGCAGCATCATTGATAGCCATCTGTGGGGAAATACATTTTGCAGTAGTCAAACCCAACCCTCAAAGCTATGAGAATGCAAAATATAAGTCCAACGTCAGCAGCACCGCAAGCAGTACGTTTCCACATCAATCAGTTACGAGGCACAGAATACCAGTGGAAGGATAAAGAGCATATGTTTTCTAACAATTCTAAGCCAGTTTTTTTCTAAGCCAGGTTTAGTAAAATGGTATTAAGGATAACTCACAGATCAAAATTGGCATAGTATGGGTTTATAAGATATACGGAGTATTTGAGTTGAGAAAGGAGGAGAAAAATGAAGGACAATAAAATGAGGAAGATTTATTTGAATAAGAAGAAAGAAGATGAAAGAGTGGAGAAGAGGAGACTGAGAAAAGAGGTGGTGGGGCTCCATATATAGTTTGCATTGACAAAAGTGCAGTAATCATACGAGTTAATGGCTACTGTCTCCATTCTTAAATAGATGCAACATGTTGAATTTTACACTATTCACATGCTCTACTTTGACAACATTTTACTTATTAATATATTAGAAATTTATTTTTTGAAAAATATTATTAAACTCTAATTTTAAAATTTTCAAAATATTAACTTTTTTATTTTATACTCCGTACTAATAAGGACCGATATATATAAATGGTCAAAGTTGTGCGTTGGCAAACATTAAAATGGAACCGTTGCAACTTAAAAAGAACGGAGGAAGCATTACCTTTTAAGTTCTTTCTTACATCCCCCACCCCCACATCCCCTTTCTACCCAACCAAAATTAAGATAAAAGATTCAGCTCAATAGGTCGTGATTTTTTATGCAGTCAACAGCCACCCACACAAAAAGGTACATCATGACATTTACAAGCAATTCTGGATTAGAGAATAAACCTTGAATAAAACCAAATGACACTGGTCACACTGCACAATTGCACATTAACTACTTGTCAACTAAGGAGTAAAGGCAACAATAGGAAATATATGGGAGAGTAAAACTCAGATATTAAGTTTTCTTTGGTAGAATACAACTCAACTTGCTAATCACAGGTCGGTCTAATGGCACGTCATGACTCATGTACTAAGCAATTCGTAGTGTTAACATATAAACTTAACAGTAACCGAAATCTCACCACTATCTTTTCATTTAGAGTATCTCTTTCTTCGAAAGTCTTGTCCAGCGTTATCTTGCCGAGCTCACTCCGCATGGTTGTTTGTGCAAGCTGAATCACAGCATATAATGGATTCTCAACTCCATATGATGCCAGTTTAGGATCAACTATCTGCAATTATTACCCAAATAAAGCAATACAAACAACAACAAAAAGCAGAATGTGCATACAAAAGCTTGAACGTTTATACAAAACAAAATATAAAATGAGAGGGGGGGGATTACCTTGACGTAAAGAACACCGTCTATAAGGATGCTGACATTGTCCTTGGTAATGGCCGATTGATCCGGAATCTGAATGGCCTCTTCCTTGAGGGAATGCACATAAGCAATTCGGTCTACAAAAGGAATCAGCACGTGAATTCCAGGAGTCAATGTCTTAGCGTACTTGCCGAATCGCTCTATTACAAACGCCTTCTTCTCTGGCACAATCCGAACTCCCCAGTTCATTGGTGGAGAAATCTCATGCCTAAACGAAAAGGTAAAAATTTACAATATCTACAAAATAGCTTATAATTTTAAACAGAAGTCGATAAAATGGTAGGAACAAGGAAAGAAATGAAGACATGCCTGGCACTAGGATCCCGAGCATTACGGAAATGCCGGAAAGAGTTGTAGAGGAAAGGAGATGGCTTTTGAGGGGAGAGATTGTTTCTGAGGATAGAGGATTGCCCGAGTAGGGAAGAAGAAGCAGTTGAGATGGCTCGAGCGGCCATTGACGGCGAAGGAGATTGGAGTAAGTGCCGTACCTTACAGAGACCGACTGATTTCACGAAGTTATTCATTGTAGTTTCTCCGATTAGAATATCCGAGCTGAAATTGGAGCCTGAAAGATCCGATTGGAAGTGGTAAGAAGTGGGGAATGAATGAAGAAGTCTAGGGGTTTTCTTACTCACAAGTCACAAGACGTATTTTCTTGCTTTCAAAGCCACACTAAACCGGCAATAATGCGCCTCAAATTGATATTCATAGTGCGGGTAAATCGAAGTTTTGATTTGTTAGAGATTAACCAACAAAATATCCAAGTTTTTATTTAGAGAGACTATAATAAAAACATAAAAAGGGAATAATTATAATTTTTATATATTAGCTTAAATGATTTATATAAAGTTTAAAATTGTCATATTTAGATCACATTTACTTCATACAAAATCGATTGAGATCCTCTATCGTGCGTCAAAGTGCCTTGCGGGCAAAGGGTCGTGGACCTTAAAATCTCCTACCGTTGAAATTTTGATCGGAAGGTCTCCAAAAGCCGAGCACCATGCCTTGCTCTAAACCAAGGCAGAGATTCCGGAACCATACAAAATACAGTGTTATCGATTGGGTGTTTTTTGGATTAAGATTAAAAAATAATACTTTGTGTGCTCCTAATAGGTTATTATATTCACTCCAAATGGACTCCATTTACATAAAATCAGATAAGTACTTCACTTTATTAGATTTTGCTTGATTTTTTCCGTTTGAAGCCTTTTTTCTCATTAGAAAGATTATATAGAGTTATAAACCCCTATGCATCCCTAATGTACCAAAGGTTAAAGAATGGTGCATATTACATCAATATTAAAAAACAATGTCGAGTTGACTTCATGTGGGAGCATCGTTCGATTTGATAGTGCCTTATTGTATTTTGTTCCGTTTTATTTTTTTATAAAGGTTAGAAAGATCATATAGAGTTTAAAAACTTATATTCATACTCCATTTACCAAATATTAAAGGATGATGCGTATTACATTGAAATTCAAAAACAATGTCGAATGGATTTCAAGCAAGTATTTGATTTGACCACATTTTGTTGTGTCTGCTCCATTCTAAGCCTTTTTAATCTTGTTGAAAAGAAAATATCGAGTTCTAAAACTCGTATTTAAACTTTATTTATCAAATGTCTTTAAACTCGTAATCTAATAGGGGGCGCGAGCAAGTAGAAACTTCATTGTTTCTGTTCCAATCTTATACTCCGTATGTAGTATCAATTTCAGTTTGTAGACTAGTTGGAGTCACCCCGCTCATTTTCAATCCCATGCTTGAGGAACCCGAACCGATGTGAACCGATTTCAATACAAACGAAAAACCCAAACAACCGAACTAGTTTTTTATCTATCTGATTTGGTACGTCCGTAATCAGAATTTCGTCCATCCATAATTCCATGATTTCCATCCCCAAGCAAGTGCTCCACGTACAAGATGTTTTATTCTTTTCTCGTCCCATTCTAAAGACCCGATAATAAAACTGAAAGAACAAAGTGGATACTTCTTTATAAAAGCAGCACTTCCTCTATGGTGGCAGCCCAGCTAACACTACAAATTGTTTTGTTTTTGCGATTTTGCTCAACTTCTTAATTTTTAAAATATTTGGTTTAATATTGGGAAATGCAAGATTTTGATGAACCATATGGACAGTTGTGCATATATTAATCTTTTAATGAACACTCTGAAATTGGCATCCAACAATGATGACTTTTGTTATTATAACCCAAATCTAATGACAATTTCAATACACACAACTGATAGAGTTTATCTAGAGAGAAGTGAGAGCTAGAGAGAGAAGTGCAATAATATGCTTCAATAGAATGAATTTGTCACCCCCATAACTACTCCCAAAGGGAGTATTTATAGAGAAAATTAGGGTTGGGCTCCCAAGCCTTGGGCTTGGGAGGCCCATTTACAACTGGACCGCTACTGGGCCGAATACAAAGCCACTAATGGGCTGTACGAATGAGTAAGTGTAAAATCCGATTCTGGGAGGTCTTCTTGGCCGACGGGGGCGTGGCCGACGAGGGCACGTCCGACGAGGGCACGGCCGACGAGGGCACCCGGGTTCCTTGGACTCAGGACCATAATCCGAGTTGGTCCCTTTTCGGCCGACGGGGGCGTCTTGGCCGACGAGGGCGCCACTCTGTTGTCTTGTGCTTTCTGTTCTTCCGAGTATGTGGGTCCGGGGGCTCAGACCCATATACTCCATCAGGAGTCCCCCACTCTCTAAGCTGAGACGTAGACGAAGTGAAGGAGAGTAGATTCCTGTGCTTTGTTGCCCTTGGCCGTTACCTGTTCCTCGTTGTGGACGGGGAGGCCGTTGTTTACTTGATGTCTTCGTTTTGGGACGATGAGTGTCCTTCTTTCAATGGTGGCCGTTGAAGGCACGTTTTGCTTGGGCGCTGATGGTTGAAGTTTGTGTTTGGGCCGACGAGGCCACTGAAGTTATTCCTTGCTTTGAGGACGATGGCGTCCTTTCCTTTGGGTGGCCGATGAGGGTGTTTGCGCACTCCTTTTGGCCGTTGCTGGTTGGCCTTCGTGTTCTTGGCCGAAGGGCCCGTCAAGATTAATTGTTGGCGGAGGACGATGAGTGTCCTTGCCTCTAGTGGCTTGTTGGCCGTCGCTAATGACGTTATGGGCCTTTGGCCGATGAAGTTCCGTTGTGCTGTATGGATGATGTGGCCATGCTTTGTGGTCACATTCATGTTCTTTGTAGTGTTTCCTTTTTGTTTTGCTGAGGCCGGTGTAGTCCCCCAGTCCCCCACTGCTTCAGGCCGAGGAGTGTGAGGGGTGAAGGAGTTGCTTGAGTCCCTGGCCGAAGCGGCCTCTCCGTAGTCCCCCTGAATCCAACTCTCATGGCGATTTTCTGGCCAAGGTAACCCTGTGGGAGAACCCTTGTGCGCAGATCGCTTGTAGAGAGTTATCATCAAAGGTCATGACGAGGAGCCGATGGCTTGTGGGCTCTTGGGTCCTTTGATCTTGTGGCCGTTACGTTCCTGGCCGTTGCCGTCTCCTTATTGTTTGGCAGTTGTGATCTTGGCGAGCAAGTGGGACGTTGTGGGCGCTTGCTGGCATTTGTAAAGCCGGTGAGCGTGTGTAGGCCGTAGAGTCCGTCTTGCCAGTGGGCTGTTGATATTGAGTTTGGCCCGTTGGTGACGTGGTGGTCCCCCATTGGTGGCCGTTGGTGTGGCCATTGGGGGGGGGGGTGCCACGTGTAGTGACCGTTGGGTGGGGGGTTCTATAAATACCCCTCCCCCTCCGACGAGAAAACGTATTTGCATTCTGAATTTGTCGAAGTGCTGGCCAATTTTCTAGAGAGATAAACTCCCAAGCCTGTTCTTCGTGTTCTTCGTTGTTCAAGGTTAGTGTTCATCGCGATCTTCCTCACTTTTCATACTTTGCTTCCTAGGTTGTTGATCTAGTGTTAGGCGTGTGAACACCCGTAGATCTTAAGTTAGTCTCCTTAGGCCCGTAGTAGTAGTTATGAAGAGCTTGAACGAAGACTACTACCCCTACGACGATCAGCCCTCCACGAGGTCGCTTGACTACGAGGTGCTCGAGGAGTTCGAAGAGGAGATAGAGCGTTTAAGTCCCTACAAATCCGGAGAGCCGGTGGACGAGGAAGGCGAGGACGAGGAGTCCGCCTCCTCTTCAAAGGGTGAGGACGTAGGTGCGTCCCGAGTGGTGGACGGGGCGTCCACTTCTGCTGTCATTCCGTGCCCGAGGCCGGTGTCTGCCGTGAAGGGAGCAGCTAAACCGAAGAGGGTGAGGAGGCCGAAGAATGGGCCGGGCCTCTCCTATCTGGACCTCACCAACATATTCCTGATCAAGCCGGAGAGCAGTGCGGCCGACTATCTTGTTGCCCAGATGTATGTGGGGCCGTTCGGGCGGGTTAGGGCACCCAGGCCGACGGACCATGTTCTACTTCCGCCACCGGGATACTTTGGAGTATACCCGATGAGTTTTGCTAAGGGGTTGAGGTTCCCCCTTCACCCTTTCATCACTGAGTACCTAGACATGGTAGGGCTTCCTCCGGTCTTGCTGACGCCGAACAGCTACTCCTTGATGGTGGGGTTTTTGCTCCGGTGTGAGGAGCTAGGCTACAGGCCGACAACGGCCCTCTTCATGAATCTGTACCAGATCGGCCGAGGAAGCCACAAGAACTGTGCGGCCTATGCTACTCTTCAGCAGCTGCCGAAGAAGAGGAGCTTCACGGACTTGCCTTCGTCCATTCATGGGTGGAAGAGCAAGTTCGTTTTCGTATCCCTGGGTGAGAGTGGCACCGAGTTCCCCTCTCTCGGCCATACCGGGAGGTTCAATCTTCATGACCCGCCGAAGAGCTCTATCTTGGACGCTCAGGTGGGGGCTTTCCTGGAAGGGGGGCCGAGGAGCGTGAAGGATTACGTTACCGAATACAAGATGACCGCCCTCGGCTTCTTCAGATACCATCTGTATGGCGATAAGGAGGATGACCTTCAACTCTGGCCGAGGATGACCACCACATTTGAAGAGGCCGACGGCCCGGATTTGGGCATTCCTGCTGAGGCCGATGGTAATTATTTCTTCGGCTTTCTGTTTTTATGTTTTTGTCCTTTGCCTTACCTCTCCGTTGTGTTTTTCCTTTGTAGATTTTGCCATGGACCGACGTTCCATAATGGCTATTGCCAAGGCCAAAGCGGCCGAGGCGGCCAGACGTGCCGCGGCCGGTGGGAGCGGGGCTACTGCTGATGCGGCCCCAAAGCCTGCTCCATCGAAGAAGAAAAGGCCGGCCACTGACGGCCAGAAAAAGTTAACTGAGGCCGGTCTGAGCGTCTCGAAGAAGACGAAGAGGGCTCCTTCCCTTTCTCCGGCTACTGAGGCCGGTACTCTGGCTGTCCCCAGCGTGGACGATAGTGGTCCTGTCGTGGACCTTACTGCTGCTGGCGATGCTGCTCCATCACTGCCTCTCGTCCAGGAGCCACGGACGAAGAGGGCCGGCAAGGAGATTGCAGGTGCCACCTACCAAAAGATGGTAGAATACCCCGTCGGCGGGGGTGTCTTCGATGACGTCGTCCTTGGCCACGACGTCCTGGCACAGGCCATGCCGGCCAAGGATCGGGCTTACCTGAGGAAGCTCGGGGACGTGAATATCTATGAGGGCGGCATGGACCTCCTCGTCCAAGTAAGTTACCTTCCTTATGCGTTGTCTTTCTCGTCGTCTG